TAACTGGCCTATTCCTAATGACGTTGGGAATATTTTAATGGTTGTTATTCTTATATCCTCTTTGGTGAAGGATCAATTAAAATCTTTTGCTCATTTTTTAACTGAATAATTTATCTTCCTGTTAAGTTAGAAAAATAAATGACCAGATACGAATCCTTATAAGAAATATTTTCTTCTAATCTGCAGCTTAGTTTTCATTTTCTTCCTTTTTTTAAAAAAAGATTTATTTATTTGACAGAGAGAGAGATCAAAAGTAGGCAGAGCAGCAGGTAGAGAGAGAGGGGGAAGCAGGCTTCCTGCTGAGAGGAGAGCTGAATGTGGGGCTCAATCCCAGGACCCTGAGACCATGATCTGAGCTGAAGGCAGAGGCTTAACTCACTGAGCCACCCAGGGGCTCCTGGTTTTCATTTTCTTAATGATGTCTTTTCAAAAAAATTTTTTTTTAAATTTTTGAGGCTATCTAGTTTATCAATTGTTTTCTTTTGCAGGCTGGGTTTTTGGTGTCATAGCTTAGAAGTGTTTGCCTAACCTAAAAGCACAGAGACTTTTCACTTATGTTGTGTATTTCTAACTTATGTATTTGATTGATTTCTAACTTATGTATTTCTATCATTTCTAACTTATGTATTTGATTGAATTCAGCAGTGAATCCATCTGGGCTTTTCTTTGTGGAGAGATTTGATTTTTAGATTTTATTTTAAGTAATTTCTATACCCAATGTGGGGGCTCAAACTTATAATCCCAAGATCAAGAGTTACATGCTTTTATGACTGAGCCGCTGGGTGATCCTGTAGAAAGATTTTAAGGTATAGCTGACCTTGAACAACATGGGGGTTAGTGGCACATCAAGCTCCTGCACAATTAAAATCCATAACTTTTGACTTCCCCAAAACTACTAAGAGTCTGGTGTTGACCAGAAGACTTACCAAAAACATAAACAGTGATTAATACATATTTTGTATATGTATTGCATACTATATTCTTGCTATAAAGCTAGAGAAAAATATTAAGAAAATAATAAGAAAAATTTGTAGTACTATATTTATTTAAAAATATCTGTATATAAGTGGATCCACAGAGTTCAATCCCATGTTGTCCAAGTTCCAACTATGTTAATTTTACTTGTTGTAGATCTGTTATGGGTTGAATTGCATCACCCAAAAAGATATGTTGAAGTCCTAACCCACAATACCTCAGAATGTATTCTTATTTGGGAATGAGGTCATTGCAGATGTAATTAGTCAAGGTGAGGTCATACTGGAGTAGGATGGGCTTTTAATCCTCTATTACTAGTGTCCTAATAAGAAGAGGAAACTGAAGGGAGAAGGCTATGTGGTGATAGAGGTGGAGATTGATGTGATGCTGCTGCAAGCCAAGGAGTGTTATGGACTGCTGGTAAACCACCAGAACGCAGAGAGTCAAAGACAGATTCTTTCCTATGGGTTTCAGGGTGAGCAAGGTGGTGCTGACACCTCCATCTTGGACTTCAAGCTTTCAGAAGTGTGAGACATAAATGTCTATAGTTTAAGCCACCCAGTTTGTGGTCCTTTGTTACAGTAGCCCTAGAACATGAATGTAAACTCCAGGTTGTTTGTCTTCTTGATTCAGTTTTGACAGTTTTGTATCTTTGTAGGCATTTGCCCAACTCAACTATGTTGTCCAATTTGTCGGCATAGCTATCTCTTTTACTTTTGGTAGGGGGGGGAGTGATATACTACTTTCATTCCTAATGTTGGTAATTTGTGTCTTCTCTCCTTTGGAGGGTGGGGGGACAGCCAATAAAGTTTTGTCAATTTTAACCAATCTTTTCAAAGGGCCAACTTTTATTTTCATCGATTTTCTCTATTTTTCTTTTCTGTTTCACTGGCTTCTAATATGATCATTATTCCCACCCATTTGCTTGCTATGAGTTTAAGCTGCTCTTATTTTTCTAGTTCTTAAGGTGGGTGCCTAGATTATTACAATCCTTCCTTTCTATATGTGTTTAAATACCTATACCCTTCAGATAACTGTTTTGGCTGCATCTCCCAAATTTCAATATGTTTTCATTTTCATTCAGTTCAAAATATTTCCTGATTTCCTTTGTGACTTTTTTGGCTCTTGAGTTAATTTAATTTCCAAATATTTAGAGATTTTCTCTATTTTTTCCTATTGTCCATTCCTAATCTAATTCCATTTTAACCATAGAACACGGTTCCATTATAGAATGTGATCCCAGTCCTCTTAAATTTATTGACTTGTTTTATGACCTAGCATATTGATTATTCTGCAGAATATACTTTAAAAGAATGTAAATCCTGTTATTAAGTTCAGTGGTTTGTACACATTGGGTTGGTACTATTGTTCAAGGCTTCTGTATCCTTAGTGGTTTTCTTTCTAGGTGCTTTACGCATTGAGAATAGGATATTGAAATATCAAACTATCATTATGTCTATTTTTCCATTCAAGTCTCAGTTTTTGCTTCATGTATTTAACATTCTGTTGATGGGCACATGTACATTTCTAATTGTTTTATCTTCTTGATGTATTGACTCTGTATGAAATGTGTCTCTACAAGTATTTGTCTTAAAGTCTATTTTGTTTGATATCAGTAAAGCCACTGCAAATTTCTTAAGATTACTGTTTTCATGGTCTATCACTATTAAGTATTGTTGTTGGTCTTATCATTATAATACATGATGTAATTTTCTACTTATTTTTATGATTCTTAAATTGTTCTTGAATTATCTAATTTGTAAGCTTTTTCATAATAAGAAAGCTATAAATTCTTTGATAAGTTTTTGTACATCTTTTGGTACAGTGCTGGCTATAATAATAAATGATCCATCAAAAGCAACTGGATACCAAAACAAGCTCTTCTTGAAAAAAATTATCCAGTAGTGTTATTCGCTCATGGTGTTGTTGCTTGATGTCCTCTCTCCTTCAGGCCAGGTTTTGAAAGCTGAAAATGACTGATCTGCCTTCCTGCCAGTTCCAGTCCTAGATTTATGAACTGTATAAAGGTTCTTATCACAACTCTTTTATTTGTATGCAAGGACCACATTTTAGGAACATTCATTTACATCAAATGGCTTAGTCCCCGGTATTGTTGCTCTCTTACAAATCTTTGATAAAATTAGAAAATTGTTCAGATCATTAGATGGGTCTTGAATATTATACACAATGAGCATAATGCTGCTTTTTCTCATGATTAAGATAATGAATACTTTGAGTGTTTAGGAATCATCATTTTACAAAGTAATGAAACAATTACATAAATTTAATATTAAAGGTCTTCTGGCACTGATTCTTAGTTATTTGTTCTATCATTTGCTATTAAAGCCCTGCCTCAGTGAAAGGATGTGGGACTGCCTCATGTTAATGTTTAAGATATACAATTATCTAACTGATGTTTGCCAATTTAAACAGGACTTGAGTATACAAAATGCTGATTTCAACAGGAATTAAAATAAGGTTCGGGTCTGCTCAATGAATCATGTAGGACAAAAAAAGTTCATTTTTAAAAAGGTAGACTTATGCCATCCTCTTAAATGTCTATGAATTTTTTCACAGATAATTTTTGAAATGGAATCTAATTGCCAAAGTATATTCTTAACCTTTATATATGACATTTTTGAGATTACTGTATTAAGACTTCTTGACTTGTGGCTCCCTTAAAATCACTTCTGTATTTGATGGATTAAGATAAGAACAAGAAAAATGAGGCAATTATAGAAAGGTGCGAGCAGCATGAAATAATAGAAAACAGGATTAGTATTAATTGAATTGATTCATATGGTCATGGATCAGAAGGATAAATGGAGACCTCTTCTTTCTTCTAGAAAAGTATATAAAATACTTCTATAGGCAATTCATCTACACCCCAATCCCCTTCAGTTGATTTTGTAGGAATGTAGTTTCTCAATGTCTGCCAAGATTTCTCATCAGCATATTCTCAGAAGAAAGGGATAGGGCTCAAAGAATATATACTTGGAATTTCCTAAAAATCTTTCCTGTCACTTGAAAATCTGTCATATTCCCCAGTACATGAGCCAAATTTTCATCTAAATTTCAAACTCCAAAATGAACATTTCTATGAAAAGCCCTTACAATAAACAATAACAAAAGACAATCAAAATTCTTCTGGTTTAGGCAGTTTTTCGGTAGCCTCGCTCAACACAGATGCCAAGACTTCCAATAAATACAAAACAGCATACCACCACCTGCATTTGGAGTCCTCGAGAAATGCATGTCTTCTCCCTAGTTACTAGAAAATTCCATATGAACCAGTAGGACAGCTTCTTCATATTGCAGGAAATAACAGCATCACTGCATTTAACTTAACCTGACTCCCTACGACTGAACATAAAACTTGTTCCACAATATTAGCAGAACCTCTATTAAAATAGCATCAAAGGATACTTCCATTGAAATACTTGACACCGAAGCCTTTAAATGGGCCAACAGACTAATAAACGCCAGCTCCAACCGAAGCTTTGGAGAGTGAGCAGCTTGCTTGGGTGGCTGACTTTCTAAACGTGGGCCCCACTCTCGCGCTGTCTGCTGCTAACCCACGAAGGTGGGAGTTTCTGTGTCCCCCTACAGTAATTCACAACCAGCGTCCGACTCCTCCACGCAGCAGCAGGACCCTGACGGCAGGGGTGGGCCAGTTCCTCAGCAGCCACAGGGGCCCACTAGCCACTTGTCGCCAAGGCCGGTCCCTCGAAAGCAGGTCGCTCCTTTGCTTCATGTGTGAGTAGGCGACCACCAGTCATTTATGGCAGGAAGGAATTTTATTCGTGTCACTCGGAGCCGGGGCTCTGTGATGAACCTTCTCCCGCCAAACCCTTGTAACGTGCCGGGGGGGGGGGGGGGGGGAACCGCCACGGCACGCGGTGTGCACGCCCACCCTGCGGGGCAAAAAGGGCGCGGGAGCGCCACTGAGCATGCGCGGCGGGAGGCTGGCCCTCTCACTTTACTTACCCCTCCCACCCCCGCTGCAGGAGCCGCGTCGTGAGGTCGCCCACGCTCTCTTCTCCCCGCCCCGCAGGTCCCGGGGACGGGGAGCATTCGGTATCTGGCGTCCGTGCGTGATGACGCACATGCGCGCCAAGACGTGGGGACGCAGGCGGGGGCCGTAGAGAACGTGAGTTTCCGAGTCTGTTTGGCACACCTCGCGTCGTCGGCTCTGCCGGGTGCCTCTCGCCCTTTTTCCAGGGCCGCGGCGCCGGGTGGTGAGGGGGTGCGGGGCGCCAGTCGGCACTTCCCATGGGCCGGGCCAGGGGCCGGGTTTGTGGCGCGCTTCCGCATCCTGGGCACTCTGGTCAAGTCTGGGAGCCGGGTGGGTGCTTCGCGCAGCAAGTCGACCAGGGGTCGCATCGTCTGCACCCCGGTCTCTTCTTGGGGCCAACCGCGCCGGGAACGACGTGCTCAGAGATGGGGTTGGCTCTGTGGGCGTTTTAAAAAGATTCCTTCTGAAGGCAGGAAGTTGAAAGTGAAGTTGCATCAGCAACAACTTGCAGTTTCGGGTGTTGGAAGAGTAGCTTTTTTTCTCCAACAGAGTGTGTGGCAAACACAATCCTAACCTAAATAGTGGTATTTCTCTTAGTAGGGGGGTAGGAAATCCGCCTGTGAATTTAACCCTTTTTCTAGTCACACCTTGAAAGCCTGTCCAAAAACGGATCACAAGCTTCATTTTTCCAAACTGCCCGTAACTTTTGAAGACTCAGGATTGCTATGAGAAGGAATTACTGCAGTGTCATGATTTGGTCACCGAGTTGTGTAGATATTTTTTTCAGGACGCTCAGTGACAGCTGAATCTTGCTGCTTTTAGTTCTTTGCAGTTGCTTCTTAAAAGTCTAATGTCTCACATTTATGTCCTTTTTTTTTCTTTTGTTAATTCCAGTAAACTATTAAAGACTTCTAATTTGCTGCTCACATGGCAGCTTGGGGAAGCAAGTAATTTTACAGAGAAGAATAGCAATACACTACTAATTGTCCCAGAACTACTAGCATCAGCATCACCTGGGACCTGGGAACTTGTTGGGATGGAAATTTGGGAATCTTATCCTAGACTTACTGAATCAGAAATCTGTTTTAACAAGACTTGCAGTAATCCAGTGCATGTGGGTTCTAATATGAATTATTGCTGTCGTGATAAAGAGGAGAAGTAACAATGGAATGTGAAACCAGGTGAACCCTTTCCTAGGTGTAAGACCTTGGGACAATTTACTTAAAGCCTTCAAAGGGCTGTAAATATGCGCTGTGAAAATGCAAGCAAAGTAAGTTTAACAGTAACACACATAAAACAGAGATGAGATGTTACTTAATAGCTTGTTAGAACTGCATTAAATTAAGTACTTGGATTGTGCTGGAAGGATTTTCATGGTGTTCATTGTGAGCTGAGGTGCCTGAATATCATGACAAGGGCTTAGAGGGCATTTTACTTGTTTATTTCTGGATTCTAGTTATAGTCTATATAGTCAAGATTGTTGGATGCCAGGATATTCTGTTGAAAGTTATAGCAGTATGTGCTAATACCAGTACTATTGCGGCTGTAGGGTTTTTTTTGTTTTTTTTTTTTTAACAGTTTCTTTGTTTGTTTGTTTGTTTGTTTGTTTTTAAAGTAGACCCCATGCTTAGTGTGATATTGAACTCACCACCAGAAGATCAGGAGTCGCAGGCTCTATGGACTGAGCCAGCCAGGTCCCCTGGAACTGTAGTATTTTTAAGAATGGCATGAATATTGCATTAAAGAATAGTTTTAATTCTTTGGCCTTTTGGTCTTTTCAGCTTAATTATACCTTCCTCCGTTCTAGAACTTGGTAAAGAAGTTGGGTGGATAACCAAAGATAAGCCTTAGCCATATTGCTAAGGCGTGTTTATGACTTGAGTGCAGAAGCCCAGGATGAAAATGTTTCTGTCCTTATCTTCCTTTCCCATGCATCATGTAGGTCCAGGAAGTAGAGGAGGCCTCATCATAACTACTCCCTATACCCCTGTTTTCTGGAAGCATCACAGGAACTAAATTAGCTGTGCCCTTTACCTACTGGTTTTTTTCAGATTGTCAGTTGCAGTGTTTACTTACAACCTTTCCCTTCCCTTTTCAGGGGGCCATTGTTGGGGGGAAAAGAGAAATGTTTAGGATTTGAAGCAGTTGCCGTAAAACCTAGACTCATTCAAGTTTGAGAAGGGTCAGTGCCACACCATGGCCTACACAACATGTCACTTTAATTAGAGCACACAGCTCCTGAGCCACACCATGGCTCTTAGATACTGTGGGTGAGAGTTTGCAGATAAACATGAGTCACTTTGGATAGCTGCTTCTGTAAATAGTTCTGTTAATACTACCACTAAATTAACACTGTCCCATCATGAAACATTCATTTTTCAAAGGTCCTAAATAATGTTCTTGTTCTCTATGGAAAATGGGCAGATGTATAGCAGTGGTTTTGGTCAGACCTTGTTTTGAACTCTGCTACTACTACTTATTGAGTTCATTGGACAAATTTACATCCTCTCAGCCTTAATTCTCTCTTGTAAAGTAGGAGTCATGGTGTGTGCTTACCTCAGGATGAATGAAATGAAATAAACTGCAAAGCATATCTACCATGTGAAGGCAGAGAGACTCAATAAATGCTACAGTTGCACAGGTGGGAAAGATAGTTATCACTCCAAATCTTAACCTTACCTCATTCACTTCCTATTTTTATAAATGAGGTAATTTTGTTATTACCTAACTGCACTGCTTTTCTTTTTAAATGTTAAAGTTCCAAAGAGTCAAAGCTTTCACGTTATTGTGAGAGAAAGAAAACACATGGAAAAAATTAAAACTTGAAAAGCTGGTAGAAAAACACTGTCTTCAGTTTTATCACCATAACAGAGCAAATTCCATGAAATTGTTTTGGGTGTTTATCCGAAGGTCAAGGTCAGGGGCTGATTAATAGTGTTTATCCGAAGGTCAAGGTCAGGGGCTGATTAATATTTAAGTATTCTTCAGTTAGTTAAGCAGGACAGTCCACTACAGAGGGGACACTATGTTCCAGGAGGTGAAAATATGCACTGTGCGTTATCTTCCATTTTTTAAAAAAATAAACTTATGTGCTTTTATGTGTATATAATATATAGGGGCATTGAAAATACTTGAGTCATACCAGCTCATAATTTTGTTTACTTGGCAATGTATTATAATATGGAGATGGGGATAAATAATCTGTATATTTATGTAAAATTACATGGGTGCATGTGTACATAAACTTTTTTTTTTTTAGATTTTTTTTTTATTTTAGAGAGAAAGCATGAGCAGGAGAAGAAGAGAGAATCTCAAGCAGTCTTCATGCTGGGTGTGGAGCCTGATGCTGGGCTCAGTCTCGCGACCCTGAGATCACAACCTGAGTTAAAACCGAGAGTCGGATGCTCAACCAACTGTGCCACCCAGGCTCCCCTAAACATTCTTATTTATATATTTTTAAGATTTTATTTATTTGAGAGAGAAAGCATGAACGAGTAGAGAGAGGGGCAGAAGGAAAGGGAGAGAGAATCCAAGAGACTCCATGCTTAGCAAGGAGCCCGACACAGGGCTGGATTTTATAATCATGAGATCATGACCTGAACAGAAATCAAGAGTCAGATACTTAACTCACTGAGCCACCCAGGCGCCCCCTAAACATTCTTTCAAAACAAAACAAAACAGAACATCTAAAAGATAAAAAAATAAAAGTCATTTAAAAGAGAGAAATGATGCTTTAAGGAGACAGATTTCCTTTTATGCTTCAGTTCTAGTCATATAAGCAGTGGTCCTTAGATTATTTATTTATTTATTTATTTATTAGCAGCGAACCTCCTCTTTAGAAGAATCTAAAGCTCAGGAGATGAGAAGCCTTAAGAGAGATTGAAGGGTGCGGTTCTGCTTGCTGGTGCTCATCTTGAACTTTTTGCAGTGATACTCCAAGGCCTGTCCCCAGAACGCTGGAGTTTAGGGCACTGGGTGTGAAACTCTTCATCTGTGGGATAGAAACCATCAAGAGACAGTTGTATCTAAAAAGTCATGGCATTAAGAATTATTGTGAGTGGAATTCACAAACTTGTTGTGAAAACAATTCCCAGGATTTTCAGCAATGTAAAATGTATGTATAACTTCTCATGCAGAGGAGTGAGTGGTTATTTAAAAAACAAAACAAAACAAAAAAACCCAGTCTTCATTATGACCCATATTTTACAAAAAATGGGAGTTCTATGCATGCTTTTAGAGAAATCATCTCAGGATTTTTGTTTTTTTGTTTTTTTTGTTGTTGTTGTTATTGTTTTTTCTTGATCCCACTAAGCCGTGACAGCTGTATCACCATTAAAGTTATTTAATATTTTAACTGGCTGTTGTTTAGCATTACAGATGACTCATGGAAAAAGAAACAAGAAGTCAGTGGAAATATATTACTTGTGTTTACCGTTCCTCTGTTTTTTGTTGTATGAAAGCAGCTGGTTTGCAATTTGTATGGTAAAGGGTTTTTCTTAAAGAGTTAATTTTTAGTTAATAGTAAGCTTTCATAAGAAACAATCTCAAAATGCTAACTATTTGTAAGATTGTTATTAATAGGGGTGGTAGTAATATCACATTGTCTTTTTTCACACATTAAGGAGGGTTTCCTGGTGACAGCTGGAGTGTGGGGGAGGGGGAGTCACTTTCAATCAGCCAGCTGCTCTGTGCAACATCATGATGGCGATATTTCAAAGCCTGTGGGATAATTTTGGCTGTATTCAGAAAAGAAAATGTGTCAAATTTCTGGGAAGCAATAGATAGTGTACAAGAGCCATATAAGAGCCCTTTGGGATCTAGATAATAGTCAACTAACAATGTGTGCATTCAGGTTTGCGTGTTGGTGTTATTTTACCATCTAGTTTCTTGGACATTGTTACATGAACATCATAATTATGAAGCAATAAAGTCCAGTTCCTTGGGGGGAAAGGCTCATTACTTTATGGAGAGGAAGGGAGATTGGAAAACAAACTTTGGGAGTGTGCTACGTGCTTTCTCATAATATGCTATTTCATTTATTCTTCACAATGACTCCAGTAAGTAAGTGGAATTTTTCTCATCTATGAATAAAGAAGCAGAAGCTCAGCAGGATTGATTATGTGATTTGCCCAAGG